GCGATTATTTATTGACAATTTACATAGAGGACAATAATACTTTCTCTCCTAGTATTTGGACTAGTGTTAGTTCTTGTAGCAGCCTAATTTAATCCAATTTTTAATATTATTGTCCATATATAGTTATCCACTTATTATACATATTTAATATGATAATAATAATGATAACAATTATATAAATTATATTTAATGTGTCTTATTATTACAAGTAAAACTTATAATATAATGATACGCTAATATTTGTTTTACGTTGCATTACAATATTTGGTTTTTTTATATAATTTTGTATATTTTTTCTATTTTTTGAAGTCTGATTAATATCTGATGTTCATATATATATTTATATTTTCTGTATATATTTGTTTCGAATATTACTTAGATTTCAATTATATTCAATATATTAGGTTGATGATCCTAACAACTTGAGTTGAATTTGGATTGATAAATATAAATATATATTATACAAATGCTTGTGAAAGTTATCAATCCGAATTCAAATCAAGTTGTTAGGATCATCAACACTCTTAATTTGTTCCAATCCCTTTTCATAAGAACAACTTACTGATTATAGTTTCTGAGAATCTTCGCATGTTAAGTAGATCTCTATTAGAATACCAATATCAATATCAATTAGGTAAAAATAATTTTAAAACAAATATAATACTTAGCCAATCATTGCTTGTATCAGATGTTTCACTACCTTAAATTATACTATCAAAAATGTTTTCTAGTTCCAATATGCAATACCAGATGTCACGTATCAGAACACAATAACCTCATAACACTCTCTAAATATTATTTTAGTTATTTATATTGTTTAATATGATATAAATATCTCATTAACTTTGCAACACAACTGAAAGGATCATTTTAAATTTTCAAATGTTTCTCTTTTGACTATGCCCAAGGTGCTTTTAGAGATCTTAATAGAATCAATAGTTTTTATTTTACTAGAGACATTCGCTAAAAGACCTTTTAATTACTTTTACCTAAAGTGCAAATTATTTATTTCATGTGCATCCTTTAAAGCCCCCCTCTCATAGCGTTATATGATTTTTGTTAACACACACGCACACACACACACACATATATATATATATATATATATATTACTAGATGAGGCCAGGTAATGTTGAAAAGGAATAAGAGAGTAAAATTTATAGAATAATTGTGCTCTAATGTTTCGGAACTTGTGAAATTAAACAATTAGTTAATCATATATGTATAGTATTATAATATAAATTTGCATAATACAAACTAATAATTATTATATACGTGTATCGTACAATATGGATATTAACTGATATTTACACAATTAGTATATGTCATACACTATTGCTTTGAACGTTTCAATTATCTCGTGCATGGTTTTTAAACAACCCACTCCTGTAAATAACGTAAAATAAAATTGCTCAATTAAATTTACACCCATCGTACAGGAAATATTAATAATTCAATGATATTGCGCAATACCTAAATTGAAGTGCGTGTAAAACAGTGAACAGTAAACGACATTCTTCGGCTTTTAGAAGATGGCATACGCTGACATTTCACTATTTTTATATAATTTCAATGATTAGCACAATTAAGAAAATACCTCGTTCCGCCACTCAATAATACGAGTATAGGGTTCAGGATGGAATTCAAACAAAATTAAAAACCAACAAAGCACGAATATAGGAAAAAAACAAATTTCTCCGTGCCATATAATCATCATTGTACATAGGTTTTTTTTCGTAATTTAAATTTGATTTACCGTTTATGTAAATTTCATGTATACCCTTGATATTGAACCTCAATAATCTGATAAACTATAATAAAGAAAGTCGCTCTGGAGATGTTTAAATTCTAACGGAAAATAATTAATAATAATACTATGTAAATCAAGAAAGTATACGAATTAATACATTTACATACGAGTAAATATATTCATCGTAACATATTCATCGGAGTTTCAAGATTTAATAATCGTTTAAATATAATGTTATTTTATATAATACGATGTGATTTTAAATCATCACATTGTACGAAATAGTATGCATATTTTTACAATCAATTATTAAAGTTTTCATGTATTTTATAAATTTCATTATTCATATATAATTCAAATCGTAAAATCATTTCATTTTAATTAGTTTACTAACGTTCGAATACATAATCAAAAAGGTCGCACGCATATTTTCCTAACTCGCATTCAGCATTAAATCAATTACATCCAGTGACGCACAGAAGATTTTTAAAGCACATGCAACTAATAAATTATTCCTCCGCCCATCATTTTTTTTATTTTTTTTTTAAAAAATGTTCGTTTAAATTGTTGTCTATAACTATAATTAACTCTTAAAATAACTATAAATTTAAGAAATTAAGATTTATTATAATTAATTAAAATTAAAATGTCTACACCCAGTGCCGTATAGGTATAATGTTTGTGTTATAATAATAAAAAGATGTGGAAAGACTAAACGGAGGACGGGGTTGGAAAACAAGAGCGGTGGATAGGAAAGGTTGGAGGATTGGATGTGTGATGGGATGGTCTTAATGGCCGGAAACCCAAGAAGAAGAAGAAGTTATAATAATATTATTTGATTACCATACTCCATAATGTTTGGTATCCAAGTTGTCCAATTATATATCCACCAACCAACCTATACACCCACTCCCGACGAGAGCACATGCAATTACACCCCTTGGTAACCTGTCTGGACGCCACAGATTACATCCACCAGTGGCGCCGAATACGTACCTAATATGGTGCATTTACACCACCTAAAATTGAGAGGTGGGTACTGGGTCTATATAATTTTGAAAAACTGGTACTTAGTAGCCTGTTGGTATTTGGTAGTAGATTCTGTACTTAATATAAACATGATAATATTTTGATCATTGATGGTCAAATAATATCTAAGTAGGGATGGTTGAGTGGTTAAAATATGTGTTTGCACCACCTATTAAAAAGTAGTTCAGCGCCACTGATATCCACTGTAGGTAAATATATTATTAGCATTATTATCACGTTATATATCATACGTTAACAAACACCATGCCATAATATTATAACGTTTACTGCACATTTAGTAAGAAAAATTCTGTTTTAAAAATTAAAAATTATAGTTTATGATAATATTTTTTATCAAAAATTGTGGTGGTCCTGTGGACTTACACTATACAAATTGATAATGTATTGTCGATATCCAAATTTCAAATCCAATCGTCCGTAATTTATGAATTTCAAACTGTCAGTTATTTTATTTATTTTTTTTGTCGTTGAAATTGTTTTCTTCGAATCCACTGAGTACATCATTAGAAACAAAAAGCGTTGATTTCGTTCAAAAATAAAAATAATAGATTCACTTTGTTAAAGAGTCTATTCGCAACATTGAAACCGACAAAAAAAAACGCGTAAAATATAGGTCTGCGTTCCGCAGGATATTTAGTTATTGAATTATAAGAGACAAAAGTATTGGAAATATATATATCTACGCTAAATGCGAGATAAATCGACAATTTCGTCGGATATAATTTTTCTACGAACACTGGGTAAACGCACGGCCCGCTTCAAGGATAACTATATTATTGGCAATATTATAGAATCTCAAATCAGAAATATCCGTGAAGTATCTCCGTACATATAGTTGAGCGTCGCGTTTTGTTACTTATCAACCGCGAGCTAATCCTTGAGACGAGGCGCAGCCAGGTGCATTATAATATAATTATAGGTACAAAGGCTGTAAACCAAATCGAAAAGAAACATAAATAACAACCGCCGTTGGCCACACGAAATCAATTCGTAAGACTTGCAAATAATCATAATTGAAAGCATGAAGCGCTATCGTTACTGTGGTGGCACGTAACCGTGTTTGCGTACTTGCCGCAGTTACGTTTTGATGACCTGTGCGTTATCGCGGTGGCAAACGCGCTATAGTATAAATCCGTCTAGTTGAACCGCAAAACGCGTGAAACGGTGTGGGCAATGGAGAGGTACGGTTTTTCGTGTTTGTTTGCGATGATATAGATACAGGAATATAGAGGTATAAACCGAAATGTTTACAGCGAACGCGCGTGTTCCGAATATACATTGTACAATTTCTGTCGACGCCACCGAAATAGTCGCGCTCAAAAATGTTATTGTTTCGATGAGCACTAGATAAATGTATGGATTTAATATACTACTGTGTTGCTGAACACATAAAACTGCACACGCCTAATACGTACGTTGTTGTCTTGGCGATGTTCATCGATAATATATAGCACGTTTTGCTGATGTGATCACAATGCTAGTCATCTCGAAAATAAAACATGTTAAGTTGACAATACTCACTATTATGCAGATATACTGAGAGAGGTCGGGTTAAAAGGTAGAATATCTATATGTCATACATTCGACTGTATATTGTACTATCAACATGGCAGACAAAACAGAAAACGGCATGACCCACCCGGTGCCGTATTTTGTATAACAATATTATCATTGTAAATCATTAAATCAACTCTTACTGATAATAATCATTTTTTCTGTCATAAAGTATACATGTACATATACACATATATGTTTCCCACAAAAATTCATTAATTTAATACGGCGACAGTAATACAAATGGTCCATTACTCAAACACTTTATATAATTTAATTAGTAAGTCTTAAGGCGAGTTCTCACGACGCGTAGCTCGGCGAACTTCAGGTGGCTTGCTTGCCGACGTATAACGAACCTACAATGTCTATACCAGGGGTCGGCAATTAATTTATATGGCGGTCCAAATATTTAAAAAAAAAAAATTTCGAGGGCCAAAAAAATCTTAAACTTAATTTTATCATTAATGTATTTATTTTTGTATTAAAAAACACATTTTAAGACAAAGTATTTAATTATTTATAAAGTAATTATACATTCATACTAATAATAACAAAATTGTATTAATGAGAAAAATGACATTTCTTTTCTTGAGCTAGTTTTTTAAAATCTGGTACTCTTGGAGAACAACTGATGCGTAAAGTGTTTTCAAGGTGGTGATCTGTTAATCTTGAACGGTATCGGTTTTTTTAAAAACGTCATTTTTGAAAACGAAGTTTCACATACATAAGTGGAGCCAAACATAGTAGCTAATTTTATGGCAAGGGTTTTACAGTTCATGTATTTATCCAAGACATGCTTTATCCAAAAATCTTCAGTGGACGAAGTTTTATACATTTGCAATGAGATATCTTCTTGCAAATTAATAATTTCAACTTGAAGTGAAGATTTTGGAAGTTTAAATAATTTTGTAGCAACGTCAATCCATTCTCCAGTCGGAGAAACTTCAAACGGATTTTTTAAAAATTGAGACAGTTTTCCAATTTCTGCAAAGTCTTTGAATCTCTTACGAAATTCTTCACCAAGGTCCGACAAAAAACTTAAAAACATACTGCAGTCTATGTCGGGAGTCTTTTTATATTCTAGGATTGTTGGAAAATGAATAAAATCTTGATTTTTTATATCTTCTTCAAAGATTTCAAGTTTTCGTCGGAAAGCAGATACACTTGATATCAGATCACAAATTAACTTTTTTTGCCCTTGTAACTCAGTATTAAGTACATTTAAATATCCAAGAATGTCTTTTAAAAACACCACAGATAGCATATTGCTCTCATTTGTTAAAAATTTATGATACTGCTTTGATTCTACTGAATCCAAGTTTACCAAGAACGTGATAACTTCTTCTTTTATACTCCAAAAACGTTCGATCACTTTGCCTTTACTTAACCAACGGACATTGTTATATTGAAGTAAATCCGAATACACTGAATCACATTCAAATAAAAAATCTTTAAACTGCCTGTGCTGAAGAGCAGATCGGGACCTCAAAAAAATTAATCAACTTGATCATTATGTCCATTACTTCCTTCAGTGTTGTACTAAGTTTGCCACACAGGGATGTTTGATGAATTATACATTGATATGAAAGTATTTCAGCATTCTTATCCTTGATTCTCTTAACAAATCCCTTTTCTTTACCAATCATTGCCGGTGCGCCATCAGTTGAAATAGACACAATTTTATCATAACTAATATTTGATTTAGTCATGAAGTCGTCAAAAGTTTTAAACAAATCTTCTCCACGAGTCTTGCATTTCAATGGCAATAATGCTAGCAACTCGTCTCTAAATACTCTACTTTCAACGTCTAAAAAGCGCACAAAAATTGACATTTGCTCAGAATCAACAATATCACATGACTCATCAATTGCAATAGCGTAGCAAGGAGCCATCTGTAAAATGTGAATTAAATTATTTTTGTTGTCATCGGCCAATAGTTCTGTTCTTCTTGTATTGCTTCTTGCTGATAGAGGAATACTTTGAATAGCATTAATTATGTCCTTTTTTTCTTCAAAAAGTGCAGTGGCTACTTCCAACATACACTCTTTTACAATTTCTGAGTCTGTAAATGGTTTTTGGTGTTTATTTAACGTCCAGCAAACACGCAATGCTGCTTCTACTGACTTTTCTTGCCCAGTCATACTTTGTACTAACATAGTCGTACTATTTTTATAAGACAAGAGTATAGACTCTATACCATTCCCACGGAGCGCAACTTGACAAGCCACGAGCTTACCCGAGCCGACCAGAGCTCTTTCAAAATTAAATTGTTGCATTTTTAAGTTCAAAATTAACCAATAAACAAATATACAAATAAACCAATAATTAAAAATTATTTAACAGTTGACGCCAAATATTTTGTGACTCGCTAATTATATATTTATTTGCATAGTCAGTTTGATGAAAATATTATTAATATGATATTAGAGTATTTGAAATTAAACAGAAACGATGTATCGCGGTAGCAGTGACGATGAAAGTGTTGAGTGAAGGACGCATAAAAAAAAAGTTTGTAAGTGAGAGTGAGAAAAAAAGAGTGAATGAGGGGAGAAACAGGTGACTCTTTCGTTCGCTGCCTCGACATTCTCGTGTATTATCGTAATACACACACCGAAACCGAAAAAAAAACTTATTTTTTCTTTTCCTATCGTGACCTTGTGTGCGAAATACACTCATTATGCCATGACGCGAAAATCCTCGAAAATCCGACTTCCGGGAGAACAAAAAGAGAGTAAATTATTCTTCACAATCGAGCATATTTATTCTAATATTATAATATTATCGTTCGTTGGTTTTCATAATAAAGTCTAACAACGCTATTAACCCATACTGATAACGCGTCTAATATTGTTATTACTATTGTTATGTTGTTGGCGTTGTACAAAAATATTATTACGCCGATAAAAAATGAAAAAAGATCTAAAACTTTTCCTTCGAAGTACGGCGTGAGGAGAGAAAGAGAAAGACGATAAATGTACATTATATATAAAGATGAATAAAACAAAAATACTTATAAAATGTATACACACAATAATTTGTACAATTTGTCCATTATGTTGCGAAAAGAAAAATGTAGTAGAATTTTTTTTCCCGATCTCCGACACTACATTATCATACTCCGTATACATATAATTTAATGTAATATGAATGACATGAAAAAGGATTATTCTATATTGTATATATACAGAAATCGTTTGACGTAAACGACTTGTTTACTACACACAGGGACGACGCGAGGTGGTGGGTAATAGGGGCAGTTGCCCAGAGCTCCACGCCTTAAATTATAATTAAGGCCCCGTGATTTTGATTTAACCGAACTTAAAATATTTTATTTATATAAATTAAAGACCTAACATTTATTTTGCCCAGGGCCACGCAAACTCTAGCACCGTCACTGACCACACACACATAATATACGTGCCAGAGTCGACAAGTAAAACGTATGTGGATATAATATAATATTATCATCAATTTTTTAGTATTTCATTCAAAAGGTCAACAACCCAGTTTGCATACGCTATACGCTAATAATACAACGCGTGTAATAGTATTACCGCCACATCATCGATACGGCCAATGGAAATATTAAAATATTTTAAAAACAAAAATAACCCCGTAGGAATATTCTCCAAAATTTCAAATGAATCGTTATGATAGTTTTGTTTGTACGCTGATCAGTAGGTAAGAGAGCGAATGGAATTTGAACTATATATATGTAATAGCAGGACCGCATTTAAGGGGGGGGGGGGCACTGGCTACAACTGCCCTGGGTGCAGGTTTTTTGGGGGTGCCAAAATTTTGTGGTCGGAAATTTGCTCACTTGTGAATTATTGAACTTTTAAAATTATTTTGAAATTATTATTTTTTTTGTTTTTAATAACCGTATCATAAATTAATGTTAATGTATTTAATTTATTAATATATTTATAACAATATAGCTATCAGCGATCTAAAATATTATTAATATACCTAATATCAGTTCCCAAATTTGTTGTGATAATGTCAATAAACATAAGTTATTTATAATAATACGGCGTATTGTGTTATCGCGTGCGGCGTGCAGTGGCGTACTACTACACAAAAATAGCATTGATTTTAAAATATCTATAAGGTTCATGAGGATCTATCTCCTATATTTTCCGTGGATAGGTCCCTTAGAGGGGTGCCATTTTTTTTTTTTTGTGCCGGGCGCAAAATTCCTAATACGACACTGTGTATTAGTACGACGTGATATTTATATGAGAAAACATTAATTTATTTGTTTATAAGGTATATTAATCAACAATAATATTGTAAAATTATTATAACATTTGATTCTACGAATATAAGTTAGTTAGATCATCACGCAACTGCATAACGATAAAAATTATAGTATAGATGATAAAAAAATAACGAGACTCAGATATTAACGAGATACGAGTAAATATGTAGCGATAATATTATATGATACATCCTAATACATCCTCAGTGGGTGCGAAATTTATTTGAAATGTCAACAGTATAGTAATAGCAACACATAAATTAATGTAGAAAGAATTATATTTATTTTAGAAATCAATATATCGCATTTTTGCATGAGAAAAGTCTCAGATAAAATCAGGGCTTGAATCAAAATAATATACATTGTTTACCGTTATGGGATATTTAAACGTTATTCAATTTAAGCTTTTAAACGTTATACAAATCTAAACCTATATAACATTTTCCGTTTATCGTTATTGACAATTAAAACGTTATGAACAGTTTAGTGTTTTACGTTATTTAAATTAGTGTAAAATTTGAAACGTTTTCAAATGTAGTATTTAACGATCAGTACTATGTAAAATAACATTACATATTTTAAATATTATATTATATATAATACCTTTTACGGTATTTTCTCTTTGTAATTCTCACAACTCATAACTTATAAATGAACTAATCATATTTATTGTACAACAACAATAAAACACACATACCACGTAAAATATGTATTTATTGTCAATTTATAACTTATTTATGGTGTATTACTAATGTTTCATCGGTGTTCACCAAAATTATTTTTGATGAGACAGGCCATATGAATTCCGTGCCGACAATATCCGACGTAATTTCAGAAAGCATATTTATAAATTATAATTATTAATGCTTATTTATATTTTACTAGTTGATAAATGTATTGTTGTTTTATTTAGATTACCTAGTAATTTAAGTCAGTTTTACAAAAATAACCATGTTCCAAATTTATTTTACTGATAGCTAGAAACATTTTTCCATGAAAATTTCTTTTAAAAGTTTCAATCGTTAATCGTTTTCTGTTACGTTATTCGATATTAATTTTAATCGTTTTTCGTTTGTTTAGTTATGCGTTTTAAATTATTTATCGTTTACAGATATGTTATCCGTTATCCGGTTTCATCGTTTAACGTTTAACATTTAGGTGAATAAGATGCCTCGCGAATCTTGCCTCGCGTATCAGATTCGCGCCGTGTAAATCCGGCTGTGTACTCATAACTAGGCTTAGGGACTTATAGCTCTGAAAATACACAAATATGCATGCAAATATACTTCTAAAATCATTAAATTAAGCATTATAATATGTATTTATATGCATTAAAAAAAAATAATAACCACATAGTACACAAAATAAAACGTGTCCATCGGATTTAAATGTTTCTTTAAACTCCGAAACAAAATTTTTTATTCGGTTATTCGTAGACTGTTGTACTTTTGGCATTGAACAATGTTACAAAATATACGCATACGACGTTTTACGAATGATTCGACGTTCTGTGATTGTGAGACACAAAAACAACGACGGATAATAATCGACTGAACTGAACACTAAACAAATAAATTATTATTCTATATTGACTATTATCTTAATCGATATCCAGCGGGTTATACGGTCGATACGGGAATATAGTATTATTTATACTTACACAAAAATTATAATGAGATATGAGAGGTAGTTTGCAGATAGCATTTTACTGGAAGTATTAAGTTCTCTAGTACATTTTTTTTTTCGATCGGTTGAAATATGTATACATAGTTATATGTATCTATAGTTTTTAATTTTAAATTAGAACAATTTGTCATAATATAATGTACATTCAAATTTTAGATCTGATATCATGACACCAAGAAACGAATTTATTTCGCACTCTGCTATATTTAACAATAATTAAAAAAAGTATGCAAATGCTAGAAGTCTCTAAGCCTACTCATAACGTTATAAAAACGTTTTGGTGCCCTGGACAAATCCTCGATCGACAAACGGCAAATACCAAAAATCACTACATCTATACAAGGGTAAACACTGCAAAGCGTATTCCTGTAATACCACGGTAAATTAAGTATTTATTAAAAACATAAAATTTAAACAGGTTTTATGATTTATACTTCTGCACTCGAAAAAGGATGATTATTTTTTTCCTTATATCGTTTTGTAATAAACCGAGAAAATCTGAAAGCTACCGCCGCGTTCAAGGTGGAACACTGAGCGCTTATCGTTACAATATAATTTGATAAAAAGTGTGTTTTATATTTCCGTAATAGAAACTCGCACGAAACGTGCCAAAAAGGTCGAGTAAAAAAATCATTGTTGAACTTTTTTTCACGCACCTCAAAGATATTTCATTACATCGTCGTCGTCTTCGATTCTATCTGCGTGCAGTTTTATTTATAGCTGCCGGGCGCATTAATTGTACACAGAATGCACCTACACACAAATCGAGACCTAAAACGCACGCGCTCGGCGACGGTCCTTTTCATAACGAAGTAACGAACGTAGTTGTGTACGATTTGTAACACATGGCACTCATTAAAAATAACGTGTACGTATTATATGACAACAATAATATTGCGATGGTACCAACCGCTATTGTGCGCGCGGTTAAGAGGACGTCACACCCGCATGAGTTGTCTCCGTATGACATACGTACCTAAAAAATAGTAAATTTGCGTTCAGTAATTCAAATGTAGTGATGTTACCTTTAATATTAGAGTAAACTGATCTATGATCAAACTTCAAGGGAAGAACATTATCTGTGTTTTGCTGGTCGTTTTTTTTTTTCCAATATTTTAATTGTTTTTTGCGAGTTATGATGTTTTTTTTAATTTTTGTATTTTACATACCCATAACACGCTTAAAAATTAAATTATCGGATAAAACTGACCAACAAAACACAGATAATGTTCTTTCCTTAAAGTGTGATTATAGGTCAGTTTACTCTAATATTAAAGCTCACTTCACTACATTTGAATCACTGAACGCAAATTTGCTATGTTGTACGTA